AACATATTTTCAAAAAAGACTCTCCAGATAGTTTGATAATACAGATGCTTGTCTTATATTTGGAAAGATATTCATAAAAATATAAAACCTTAAGAAGAAAAAAAATTCTGGATAAATTACTGAACTGTGTGGTAATGACATTTCTGGTAATCTAGTTCATAATTCAATCCTTCAATTCTGTTACTATTCCTAATTTAATTTATTTGGTTATTTTTTCTTTTATATGGTATCAGTTTATCAGAAATTCTAGTTTTCAAAATTAGAGTTCTTATTACACAACATTTAGTAAAAAATATAAAACTGAAAAGTAAACATATACGAATAAATGATTTTTATGACCTCTAAAATATCACGATAAAATTACCAAATTTTACCTTTCATTGTTAAATCATATTTTATTGTTAATTTAACCAAATCATTAGGACTCGATGGCCTGGTTGGCAGGGCTCTGGACTCACGCTCGTGAGAACGAGAGTTCGAATCCAGCCTGCCAAAGACCAGTAAATACTGAATTGTGCACGTTAAATCTGTCGGTTCACACAGTCCTCCATATTCCTATAACAAATCAATACTTCTGGCTATACTGAATTGGAGTGTGATCTTTCTCTGGTTCAGGTCAAAACTACGATCTGAGAATAAATTAATGGATGTATGAATGGGTCCGCTCTATAAACGGATGTGGCGTATGGGTGTGGCAGAAGTCAACTTCTTGGCCATAGATGGAGCCACTGGAAAACAAGAGCAATTGCACCCCATCAGAGTTAATGGCTGACGACAACAACAACAACTAAATCATTACCAAAGTGCATTGGTCGAAATTACTGAGTTTCTAGCTGTCCCCATAGAGTCAGAAACATGATAAATTGTATTATATTCTAATGGTTTTGACCATACTTTTATCTCGGTGTAACTAAATAAATTATATCAATACATAATATTCAAGATGAAATTAAGAACATGATGGAATAAATCATTTTACTTCTGGTCGATCAAAACTTGGTAAAACAGGTTAACACATGTTGAAATAAAATGAGAGGCAATATTTTAAATTCTGGTTTTCAAACTTATAATTCTTATTACCCCATGTTTACAAAAAATATTAAGCAGAAAAGCAAATTTAACCGAATAAGTCATTTGTATGCCATGTTCTAAGGTATCATGATAAAAATATATTGCAAAATAATATTTTATTGCTAATTTTACCGAAATTACAACAAAAATGCTTTGGTAAGACTTTCATAGTTTTTTGGTGATCCCTTAACACGGTAAATTTTATGATATTCTGGTAGTTTTGATCATATTTCTTTCCTCAGTACTGTTTAAAAAAATTATTAAAACAATATAACAATCAAGATGAAATTAACAACGTGATTGATTAATTCTTTCCAATTCTGGATCAACTTCTTTGATCAAAGCTTGGTAAAATATTTGGTTTCCTACATTGAAATAAAACAAGAAGCAATATTTCCAAAGTTCAGAAAAAGTAGGTCATTATTTCTATCCAGTTTTCACTTTTTTTAAACTTTATTAATGATTTCACACATTCATGATTGGAATGTGATGATATGATTATTTTTAAATGATTATAATTCAATAAAAATCAGCGTTATCAATAAATTAATATCAATTATAACTAACGTAAAGTTATTTTTTTTAAATTTTGGCATATTAAAATTTTGAATATTTGAGTTTAAAAAAAACGTCTCACATCTATTTAGAACAAATTAGAATTTTCTTTTATTGTTGTCTATCGTAACAATAAATAACGAATTCAGCAAAGTTGAAATATTAAACTTTTACCATAGAGTTTTTGCTTTTCACAAAAACGAATAAAATATATTTTATTTTGTTTATTTCATTTCAATCGTGTTTCAAAAATGAAATAAATTGCATTTTTAATCCACGTTGTTTGAGGCTAACTAATAGTTGTTGTTGTTTCTAATGACACTTGCAAATAACAGCGAGCTTGCTTGGTGAAACCAAGCGACCATAAGGCAGAGTGCGCATTTCTTGCTTTCCAGGGGCGTCATATATGACCAAGAATACTATTTCAAAACAAACGGCTAACTAATAGTAACCGAGAGAAGCAATAATATTTTTTTACAAAAGTAGTGTTAAACATATGGATAAAAAATTTTGTTTTCAATTGAATATATTTTTATTTTAAATATATTCATATACAAAGGCATTTCTAACTATAGCGGAAAATAAGAATTGAGTCATATATTCATTCATCTTCAACATTTATTTTCAAAATTACAATCGGAAATCAATGACTGCTGCAATTTAATATTTAAATGAGGAAATATAAAAAAAATACTTCATTAAAACTTGACGGATCAGTTATTAGTAAGGAAAAAATAAAAACATCAAAATTTGTGTTATAACAATAGTAAGAAGAACTGTTATGTTATGTCTCTAAACCCGTTTTCCTTAAAAGGGATTTGTAAAGTTTTTTTTTATAAAAACTGTGGTATAAAATTAACAATAAAATATGGTTTTTATGAGATGTTATAAAATTTGGTAACTGCAGAAAAATTTGATAACTTAGAGCTTTGTTTAAAAACCTTAAACTTGATTAAATTATTTTTCAGATTAATATTTTTAACCAATTGTGTGATAATAAGAACTATGATTTTAAAAATTAGAATTTCCGGTATACCTATACCATATGAACGAAAAAATTACAAAGTGCCGTATAAAATACCGTATATTTTGATGTTATTAAAAAAAATTATGTTTTTCTTATTATTTAATAAATGTGCCGTAATTATTCTTCGAACTGCAAACAAAATATGATTTCAGTGTAAAAGCTAATTATTTACTCGCAAAACATTCGCGTAATTTTTCTTTATTTGTGTCCTTATTAATTTTTGTACGCATTCTGTAGTGAATTTAACATAATTAAAATGTCAGTCAGCTCTTACGTTAGGGAGCAGTTTTAAACAGTTAACTGAAAATTCCATCCCTTGTTCACGTTTTATCTCTGAATATCATCAAAAGTTAATGATCTTAAACCTTCTTCTGGTTGTTATTAGTGCATTATGATAGACCAAAGCATTAAGCGATTAGATTCTTGATTAACAATGTAGGAAAATTTGTGTAAATTATTTGTCCCCAATCAGATTAAAAATAATAAAAACTATAACCATATACAACAATAAATTATTTATTCTATCCATTATTTAAGAGTATTTGCTAGTAATACGGATTTATTCATATCTTCTTATTCTTTCATATTAATCATATTTTATTTCCCATTTATCTTAAACATTTATATAATTACTTATATTATTTAAAACTAAAAGTGGAGTTCTTTTATAATATTGTAGAGTAATTTTGTGATAAAACCTCATTATGTAATATGTGATAACGATAATTATAATCATTTTACGATTGTTAATTGTCAAATAACATATATCTCTTTTAAAATAAGTTATTTTCACGTTCATTTCGAATTTTATCTAAAACTGTCTTCAAGCAATGGGTCCAATTATAATAAGAACACAAAACAATCTGTGTGCAATTATAATTAGAATTTAATATACTGAAGCTATATTAAGAATATGCATTTCAACACTGCTGAATAAATTTTTGGAAAAAACCATTTAACGTGTTTTTATAATTACAATTATAATAATTATAAAAGTAAATAAGAATTAACAAAAAAAACAAGTTCGTGAATGGAAAGGATAATAACATAGTAAAATCGTCAGATTTAAATTTAACCCCGATAAAATCAAAATTTTAATCTGTGAAGTCAAATCGAGTGGAAGAAAGTTAAGTTTAGAGCAAAAACAATATTTTTTTTTAAGAATATTGGAAAAAAACTATTGCATAAGTTCTAAAACATGTTTGTTTAATTATACATACACGTAATAAGTAATAAAAACCTACGATATTTCCTAGTATCCATTACAAATAAAGTAACATATGTAATCTGTTATGAATGCAACTTAACTTTAAATAAAAATAGATATTAAAAAGTTAGAGAATTCAAGATAAATCACTGTAAACATTTGTTATTTGACGAATGAAAATATGTACGTCATTGTTTTAAAGTAATATCAAAAGAAATTTTTTTTTAATGAACTGAATTATTTTAATGAATCAAGTCTGAAGCAATTTAAGATCACTGCTTTCAAAGAATTGTTTTTATAAAATTCCCCAAATTGTTAATAATTTAAGGAATTGTTGCATAAAATTGACAACTTGTTAAAAGTTCAAATATTTGTTGCATAAAATTGTCAAAATAGTTAATAATTTAAGTAATTTATACATAAAATTGTCAGAGTTATTAATAATGTAAATAACATGATATAAATTAGAAGTTAAATTTTGTAACGCTTTACTTTAGAACAGACAAAGGGTTTAAATGTAAAGAAATAAAACTTTGGTTACAAATTGATAAAATATATAATACCTGGTAGACATAAGGTATAACTTTAAAATAATTCATACATTTCTGGAATCAAAATCTAATAAGTAAATAACTATGCGTTTTGCGATTTTAAAATTTTGACATAGAATAGAAATAAGAAAAACATTATTAAGAACAAAATTACCGTCGTAAAGTTGAAAAAAAAATAGTTTTATTAATTTTATTGTCATTATCAACAACTTATTTAAGCATATTGTATTTTCTCATTTAATTTGTAGGTAATAATAAATGTTTAAAAATTTATTGATAGTCTTGAATCCCGACCAAAATTATTTGAAAGATGCGCAAACTTCTTTGCATGTTTTATTTCAAAAAATAATAATTGAAGATAATGCGCTATTAAAAGATGATTAATTCTTATGTATTATGAGATATAAACTTAATAAAAACGCATCAGTTTAATAGCTGATAGTTTTACATTTGAAAGATAATATCTAATTTCAACTCAAAGAAACAAATAATAATGAAATAAAATATCTATAATGAAAAGTGTTTCATAAGTATTTAATTCTTATAATATAAGTACGTAAAAATACTTATATGCATTTCTTACTTTATTTTTCACATTTATTTCTTATAAAATATCATTTTAATCTTACTTTTCATTCCATAACAATTTCTTTATCATTTTAGTAAACTTTTCATTTCATAACAAATTTTTTTTAGCAAAAAACGACTTTTATAACTAGCATTTTTAAATACACAATACTCGAAATATTTGCAATAAAAAAATATCCTAGTGATATTTGACTTAGAAACATTTCATGACCTGCCGTTAGATTAAAATAATCAGTTTACGAAACTGTTTAAAATAATTAAAAAGAAGTTTTCGAATAGAAATACTATAATCCAAATATATTTTTGGCACATAGCCTTATTTTTTTTAACAATAACTATACACCCGGTTATTTAATACAACATCAAAGATTATGTATGCTTTCATAAAACACATATGGCACAAACATAGATATTATAGCTATCGTATTTAAGATATAAATGCATATATATATATATAAACTCTTTTCTTAAAATATTGTAAGAGAAGTGAAAAATTAAATGCAGCATAACTTACTTAGTAATTCGTTAAAATTCTGCAGAACATGAACTAAGATGAAAATAGAGAAAAACAATGAGATGCTGAGGAAAAAAAATCAAATATATATGTGCTATAAAAATCAGTTTAAGTGTCAAGTATATCTAAATAGCACCACAAATAGCAGTTTGAAAGAATCTCAAATACAAGTTGAAAATTATAAACTAAAGATAGCATCACTCGAAGAAGATTTTTCAAATGGTGTTTAAATGTTTGGTCCATGTGTAATTAGTTTCTGATTATGAGCAAATTTCTACTTCCTGTGTATATATTTCTGTAAAGTTCATAGCAACCGTATGAAAAGTTACCAGAAAGTTTTTATTCAATCCATATAAACTTTATCACTGAGTTGTATTCACAATTCGTGAAGCTCATAGCATTCAATACGTGAATGAAATAAAACGGTTCGTGATTGACTTTACGAACCACATGCTGAGTTAGTTTTTCGAGATTAGTCACCACAAAGCTCATTTAGTCTCGTGAAAAAATGATGTTTCACACCTGAGTTGGTTCACTTTCTGTTTTTTGCTTATTGAAGCCATTTCTGACCGAGAATTCTTTATCGCCCATAACGATATTGGATCTTGATGTGAGGGTGATAGCTGTGGATGGATCTAGTTCATTCCTTTGTTTCTGTTCTCGATTAAGTTGTGCTTTTGAAGACCCGCTGCGTGTGTTTTTCGGAAACACGCTGTTCTCTACATTCAACTGAGCATTTACTTCCATTCGTGCCGCACATGTGAACGCTTTAGCGAAACTCTTTTTGAAATTGTCGCTCAAGAACGCGTACAGGATAGGATTCATGGCTGAATTGGCGTAGGCCAGCATTCCAGCAAGAAGAATAATTATAAACCCAATCTGACTCTGACCCTGTCTTGGCGGTAAAAGTGTGATGTAAACTTGGGTGATCCAGTATGGCAACCAGCAAATAACGTAGACCGTAATCACAGTTAATACAAGATAAGTTACTTTCCTGTGAGAGCGTTTCTTCTCTTTTGAGCGGTTTTTTGGTCCAACTGTGCGCAATTTGCATATGACTAAGAAATAAAATAACAGTATGAGAATTAAGGGTATGGCAAAACCTAAAGTAAAGGAATAAAGTGTAAATGCCTTCTGCCCGTTCATCAAATCACTCTCTGGCCAATATATATTGCAACTTAGACTTGTTCCGGTGTGATATATGTTCGCGTAAATATAAATGGGTACCATCAATAAAGCAGATACTGTCCAGGCTGTCAGACATATGAACTTAGCGATAAAAGGTGTTCTGTATCTTGGAGACGATATTGGATGACAAACAGCTACATAACGATCTGCGCTCATTACTGTTAGCAATAGACTACTAGTAAATTGATTGATGGATGTTGTTGTCATGTAAATTTTACACATAACGCTACCAAATGGCCAATAACCGAACACCATTGTTGTTATAAGAAAAGGAAGACCAGTCAAAAACATTTCATCGGCTAACGCTAAATTAAATATGTACATATTGGTAACAGTTTGCATCTTCGAAAAGCGCAGTACAACGTACAATACTAAGCTGTTACCACATAAGCCCACCATGAAAACAATTCCATACAATATCTTGGCAAATTCAACAACAAGATACGGAGGCTTGTAATGTGTATGTGACATCATGTCCGTAATATTAAAAGCTGTCATATTACCGCAATCAGTTAAATTAAAGTCACTATAATTTCCGCTAAATTCACAAATAGGAATATTCGTTCCGTATATCGGATAATCTTCGTCAGTAGCCATTGTTAATTACCTGACTACTACCTGTTGCTAGAAAACTGTATAAGTTCTTAAAGAATGAAATTTTTTTGCGAAACGAAGCGAAAAAAGAAGAAAAATGACGACATCTCCGTCATTCTTTAAGTCGTTAAATGATTGGTTACTGTCCAAATGAATGAGGATTGGCCGGTTCGAAAAATATGGTATTTCTAATCTTTAAAAGGATGAGAGATCATTCACTGTCTTTACTGATTCACAGCAGGGCGTTTTCCGTTCTGAGACGAAGAGGCATGGACATAGTGATGAGGGAGGGGGTTGTTCACCGTGTTCGATCGGTTACGAGAGCTTTAGTAGAGATGCTGACACTAGCGCCATCCGACGGATGCTCCCTGAAAGAGTAAGAAGCAGAATGAATGGATATCGGGGGAAGAGAAAAAACTAAAGACAAAAATTAAAAGCGCGTTCGAAAACCTTAGCACGGTATATATACCAGGACTACACAAACAGATGGTAAAAGTTGTTTTTCTTCAAGGTATAGGTGGGCGTGTTGTGTGTACAAAATATATTAAAGTTGAAGAGCTATCGAGTCTATTATAGTGACGTTTCTTCAGAAAATTCTAATAATAATTCCAAGAATCGACAAAAATACTTTTTATCGAGATAAATTTAAGAGAGTATTTCCGAAGCCTCAATTTATGTTTTTCCTAGGAATTAAATTAATTTAATATATTTTCGTTTCTTACTGCGTGGGGTTAATAAAAAAGGGACTAGCTCCATTAGTGTAATTTCATTTTAAATATATAGTTAAATTCTCTTTGTTAATTCTTCAATATACTGAACTTATATTTTTTTTAACAGTAGACAAAAAGTGCTGTACGTTATAGAGCATTTTTCTTTATAAAATAATACAAATTATACTGTAATACGCAATAAATAACCCACGATAAATACACAATAAATGTACAAAGAAATATAGTAGTAAAACAATAGTATTAAATGCTTATATATTTTTTTGAGATAATAGTAATAAATACATCGTTATGACAGTTAGATAGTATACATGCTGATTGATGATCGAAAACAACCCACCTATTTCCAGCATAATATTATAATACGTCTGTGAGCAAATAATTGTTTTTTTTTCCATAATTCTACATAAACAGGACGGACTGATTTAAACATTATTCATATGCTCTTAAAACAACTTCTTGATATTATTACACTATTGGTTTTTACAAATATTCAATCACTAGCTGATTATTCGTTTTCCGTCTGGAGTGAAAAAAATTAAAATGTCAATAAAGCAGAACTGAATAACACTACAAAATTATGCACAATTGGACACATAACAACACAAATAATAAGCGATTGTATGTGACTTTAACTTATTATTTAAGGAAAAGGCGTTTTTAGTAATTCATAATCAAAATAACTATTAACAGTATTCAGTAACGTTTGCAATGATGTCATACCTCGTGGCCAAGTCATGACCACATGTCATGACCACAGTCATGACGTGGCCAAGTGAGACCTTACCACAATTAATCGATTTTCTCTAGTACTTGTCCATATATAAAGCTATATCGACTGCACTGTATAAATTCAGTTTTAATTGACACTAAATAAACTAATACTAGGAGGCTCTGCCCCCTGCTCGCTAACGCTCGCCAACCCCCGAGAATTGCTACGCAATCCTATGTGGTTCACGCCGTGAACCATGGCTCGCTGCGCTCGCTCGCCAATGAACACAATGTTCTAGCACAAAGACATAATATATTATCATCAAAGACATAGTATTTTATCATCAAAGACATAGTATTGTACTTATGTAGAAGAATTCTACCAATGTTCTTATTGGCTTTTAAAAAAGTATATTAGCTATTTAGATTGTACATGGTGAAAAAATCAAAACATTAGCTAAATAAGAAACATATTAGCAAAATAAATTATCAAATATTGCTTCACTAATATTCTGCATTTTAAAGCGTGAAAATTCAATGCATAAATAAACGCGAAATATAAAAAAATTCAATGCATTCAATACAAACACTTAAACGTTTTTTAGACGTTTAGGTAGCTCCCAGTAGAAAAATATCAATTCTACAGCGGCCTTTTAAAGCATTCTCTCTTCAATTAATTAATTAATTCCTAATTGAGTTTAAACTAAATATTCTCATGTATTTAGTGCATGAATCTGAATTGAGCAACCTGATAATGCTCACTCTGGTTATTGTTATCTGGTTGCTCACTACGTGCTCTTGCGCGCCGAATGCAATCAATTAAAAATGAAAACTGCTGCCAGCGCGAGAAAAGAAATATCATTGGTTTTATTGATACATACATACATACGTTCGTACGTATTAGCGTTTTATATAATATAGATAGATTACTTACAGTAGTATATTTGGTAATGATTAAAAGTGCACCAATTACCATATGTACTAAATAGCGTGAGTGCATATTATCATAATTGCGTATTATCATAATTAATTAAGCATCATTTGCGTCGAAATATTATGGTAATTTCCTATTAAATGAACTTTACTTCTAAACAAATTAGTGCCGTTTCTCCACTGGTTTCGCTATTTAGTACGTAGCTTATTTTTTATTTCAGTTACAGTACCTATTGAAAAGTTAATCAATCAGCATCGGCATCAATAACTGTATGGCGAATGTTGACCTGACTTTTCACCTAATCGAATTAATACCATTTCTCAAAAAAAAAATTGGTTCCAAAACTAATTTCTCAAAAATAATGTTGACTTTAAATTATGTATTTTTTTAAAAAACAAATGCCGTTTAAAAGCATAATTTTTTAAAAAGATAAACGCTCAGTTTCATAAATTTAAGAAATACTAATTTGTTGACGTAATCCGCCAATGCCAGTATGTTCACGTTGATCGTTGAGTTTAACTGACATAACGAATAAAAAATAATTATGTAACTAAGAATGTGCAATAAAATTCACTTTTAAGTAATGAACGCTTTCCTTAAAAACGTCTGCTCTTTTATTTACATCAATATCTCTAACTTTAAACTTATAAAAATATTCCGTTATTCAAGCATCTCCCCTGAACGATCTAATTTGAATTCTTGAGGACTAAAATTGTTCCTTGAGGGACTGAAATTTTTCCTTTCATCCCCTGACCAATTTTCAGGACGATCAAAGAAATGGTTCTGGAGATATAAGAGTAACATACACACACGGACATACAAACTCTTCATTTTATTATTACAGATTAAACATTAAACAATACGAAATAAATCATTAGTTCCATGACCGAACTTTTCTTTTTCGAATGATAACAGTTTCTGCAAATATGTTCTGCAAAAATGATAAAAATTTCAGCAGTGATAGAAAAAAAGTGAAGGACAATCATAAGAAAACAGACATACTAAAATAATGTATTATATAGTTCATTGTGAAATCAAAACAATGAACTCAAATAACAAGTATTTTCTCAGAACTTCTCGATGTTTTTATTCTCTTTTAACATCGCCGGAGAACAACCCACCAGATATTTAATATCTGGTTATTAATTTGAAACTTTTTCGACTTAAACTTTGAATCCAACTTAGAAGACTGTTGAGTTAAATATCATTAAAAACTCTCCTTTGTGATAAGGTGTTTCAGTATTTGAGTTAAATAAATGAAAAATTTACTGTTCTCCTGATGGTTATGAGACACTAATAAATGACTTGTCTGCAATGGCACACTTTTGGGTCAACGTAGGCGGAGAAAAGTTCAGCAGCATACGTGTTCTCCTTACACGAGTTATGTTTTGAGTTCAGTTATTTTATTGTTATTTTGTCTGCTGAAGTTAATCTTTATACTTTGTAACTTCTTTGTAAAACGACCTTTGATAATCTTGGAATCAGGTATCAGTGTTGTTTGCAACTGAAACAAAATTGGATTCTTTTAATCTATCTCTAAATTGATTAGGTATTGAAACAATACAATACCTAATCTGTATCGTATCGTTTAAGGAATCTTAAGCTTTAGCGCTTATAAATACATATAAGCAGCATGAGGAGCATGTATATATGAAAAATGGTAGTGAATCTTAAAGTAGAATTAGTATCAAAAGAATTACAAGACAATTCAAATATATATATTTGAAATATATATATATAAATGTATATATATATAAAATGTATATATATATATAAATGTATATATATATAAAATGTATATATATATATAAATGTATATATATATAAAATGTATATATATATATAAATGTATATATATATAAAATGTATATATATATATAAATGTATATATATATAAAATGTATATATATATATAAATGTATATATATATAAAATGTATATATATATATAAATGTATATATATATAAAATGTATATATATATATAAATGTATATATATATAAAATGTATATATATATATAAATGTATATATATATAAAATGTATATATATATATAAATGTATATATATATAAAATGTATATATATATATAAATGTATATATATATAAAATGTATATATATATATAAATGTATATATATATAAAATGTATATATATATATAAATGTATATATATATAAAATGTATATATATATATAAATGTATATATATATAAAATGTATATATATATATAAATGTATATATATATAAAATGTATATATATATATAAATGTATATATATATAAAATGTATATATATATATAAATGTATATATATATAAAATGTATATATATATATAAATGTATATATATATAAAATGTATATATATATATAAATGTATATATATATAAAATGTATATATATATATAAATGTATATATATATAAAATGTATATATATATATAAATGTATATATATATAAAATGTATATATATATATAAATGTATATATATATAAAATGTATATATATATATAAATGTATATATATATAAAATGTATATATATATATAAATGTATATATATATAAAATGTATATATATATATAAATGTATATATATATAAAATGTATATATATATATAAATGTATATATATATAAAATGTATATATATATATAAATGTATATATATATAAAATGTATATATATATATAAATGTATATATATATAAAATGTATATATATATATAAATGTATATATATATAAAATGTATATATATATATAAATGTATATATATATAAAATGTATATATATATATAAATGTATATATATATAAAATGTATATATATATATAAATGTATATATATATAAAATGTATATATATATATAAATGTATATANGCTCTCCATCGTAGTTCTTCAGGCAAATGATGCCTAGAGGTCATTATTACGAATTGGCTATCTCAGATTTTCAATGTCGCAATCACAGTAAAATTTGTGTGCTTTCTCTCAAACTTGGACTTTT